TTCTTGCCTGGAAAACCCCGTGGAGAGAAGAGTCTGGCGGGCTACAGTCCATGGGGTCCAAGAGTCAGACATGACTGAGTGACTTAGCACAACATCCTGATATCATGTTATAATTTAAGCTGTAATTTTAAAATGTGTATCAGAGCAGTAACTAAGTTTCTCTCATCAATTACATTGTGATCAAATGTTTAACCATGACTTTTTAAGTCTTTCTCTCATTTATAGACAGTTATTGTACTCTGATAAATCTCAGATTATACAGAGGAACTGGGTAAGAGAAAAAAACCCTAATAAAAAAATCTGATGGCTTCATAAAAAGTTAACAAAAAGGATTAGTTACATAGGTTTGAGTAAACTAATTAACATGGTTATAATTTTTATGGTTTCTGTCTGAAACATTATTAGTTTTTAATCTGTGTTTCCCAGATATAAAGAAACACTCTCAGGTGCTCGCTTTGGCACCTAAAATTGGAATGATACAGAGAAGATTAGCATGGCCCCTGCACAAGGATGACACGCAAATTCGTGAAGTGTTCCATATTTTTGGGAAGGGGAATACATGTAACTCCATGGCTGATTCATGTCAATGTATGACAAAACCCACTACAATATTGTAAAGTAATTAGCCTCCAACTAATAAAAATAGATGAAAAAAATAAGAAACACTCTCAGACTTCTCTGGTGGTACAGTGGATAAGAAAAATCCACCTGCCAATGCAGGGGACACAGGTTCAGTCCCTTGTCCGAGAGGATTCCACATGCCATGGAGCAACGAAAGCCCATGTGCCACAACTGCTGAGCCTGCGCTCTAGAGCCCATAAGCCACAGCAAATAAGACCCAGCACGATCAAAAATTAATTAATTAATTAAAAAATAAGAAACGCTTTCAAACTAATTATGACTTACAGCAAATTCGTAAATTATACTTTTACAAGCAGAATTAAAACACTTCTCTTTTCTCTATACCTGAGCTCTCTAGAGATTGGAAACTCTTAGGTTCCTAGCAACTTCATCAGATAAATTAGGAAGGCCACCTCCTAACAGGTGCAGGAATCTCAAGGTATTATGTGGACCTCAAAAAGGGAGGAATTCACTTAAATCTACAAGGCAAAATCTGTGACAAAAGCCCTCGGTGTGGCTTTCCTGACCTCAGGAGGACTTTTATCAATGAATCAGATTTGAGGACAAATTCATTTTGATTCGGCTATATTTGATAAAAATGAGAATGATTTTAGAGAAAAAGATGTTCCGATAGATACTAAATTCTGTTTATTGAGGCCTATATTCACTAAGATTCACTTATCAGATAATTCCTTGCTGTTATGTTATATTGCTGCAAAGTTTAATTGAATTATTAAAAAGGCACACTTTGTTTCTGAAGCTTTAACTCAGTAATCTATCTTTGATTGATTAGATGTTCCATGATCTGCAACCAGAAGGTTAACATCAGGTTATGGTCATTTAAATGTAAAGGCTCCCTTATTTTGGTTAACAATTAAAGCTTTCCGAGGTGGTGCAGTGATAAAAAATCTGTCTGCCAATGAAGGAAACATGGGAGATGTGGCTTTGATCCCTGGGTCAGGAAGATCCCCTGGAATAGGAAATGGCAACCCACTCCAGTATTCTTGCTTGGAAAATTCCATGGACAGAGGAGGCTGGCAGGCTACAGTCCAAGGGGTCACAAAGAGTTGGACATGACTGAGCATGCACACAATGCACCACCAAACTACTAGGGATAACCAGACTAGTAATACTAGGAAATCAGGCTGGGTGCTTTATGGAGTGCCAATATATAACTTCCCTTGAAGATAAAGACTGATACAAAGCAGATTAATCAGATGACCTCGGATATACTGGGCTGCACCTAATAGAATTTCTTGACTTAAATTTTAATTTGTGACCTTACTAATACTGCTAGCTGTACTATTTTTTTTATATTGCCTGTTTTACAAAACTGTTGTTTCTTGCATTTCCAAATGTGTGACTGAGCCTCTGAGAAAATGATACATAGTTCCATGTGAGATCAATGATTATAAAAGTGTAACTCTAGATACAGAAAAAAGCAACAAGAAGGAATATTTTCCTGGACCATAAGAGACCTAAGGTGGTCTAGAGACTTTTGGCCACTGTCAATAAGACCTAGTCCAGTAACAGCACACTGAGTGGCCCATCAGTGAAACCTTCACCAGACCTGGAAATGAGCATTCCAAGCACTGTGGGACAAAATGGTCATGAAATGCCCCCCAAAACATGGTCGAACCTTATGGTTTCAAGGTATCCTCTTGTAACTAAAAAATGAAAGTGCTTTAGATCAGATATTAACAAAAAGAAGAAACATATGTCTAGCGGCCAATAGCTCCTGTTATGTGTATGTTAATACTACATCAGAAGTTAAAACTTACTTAGGTACAATTAGACAACTGGTTACAAGTCTCCCAAAGGTGCAAGGTCCAGAAAGGGTTTCAAGCTTATTCTGCTAAATACCTCAGGGAATGAGATTTATTTTGTCTATTCCAGCTTTCACTCCTCTAATTACTTCTAATTAAGTCTGTTACACCAGAATGGTGGACCAAAGGATTGAGACCTTAATAAGAAGAGACTCAGATCCAGTACCTGGAACTCAGAAACATTTCCAATTCAGTGTCTAGTCTCTGAATAGAGACAAGACATTTCAACAGGATTTTGCCACAGTTATTGTTGTCCCATTCCCTGAAAGACTGAGGAGTATCAAAGAGGGGACTGAACCTGAGCAGGAATCTGTGGGGCTCCCGAGTACAAATCCTTTCTGTGTTTGCCGTTTCTCATTCGTAGGTTATAGGTTTCATTCAGCCTCCCTGACCTTCACTGAGTTCCAAAGGGCAGATTCAAACAGTTGCTAATCAGGGAAGGGAGAGGATGCAGAAACAAGGGAGGAACAGTTAAGTGGTGGGACAGCCTTGGGGCAGGGTCCTGGTCCTACACACACACAACACACACACACACACACACACACACACACAACACACACACACACACCCCAAGTGGAGGATGGTAACTTCAGGCTGAGCCCAAGATTCACACACACACACACACACACACACCCAAGTGGAGGATGGTAACTTCAGGCTGAGCCCAAGATTCTCACACACACACACACACACACACACACACACACACCCCCAAGTGGAGGATGGTAACTTCAGGCTGAGCCCAAGATTCTCACACACACACACACACACACACACACACACACCCCCAAGTGGAGGATGGTAACTTCAGGCTGAGCCCAAGATTCTCACTCACACACACACACACACACACACCCCAAGTGGAGGATGGTAACTTCAGGCTGAGCCCAAGATTCACACACACAAACACACACACACACACACACACACACACACACACCCCAAGTGGAGGATGGTAACTTCAGGCTGAGCCCAAGATTCTCACACACACACACACACACACACACACACACACACACACACCAAGTGGAGGATGGTAACTTCAGGCTGAGCCCAAGATTCTCACACACACACACACACACACACACACACACCCCCAAGTGGAGGATGGTAACTTCAGGCTGAGCCCAAGATTCTCACACACACACACACACACACACACACACACCCCCAAGTGGAGGATGGTAACTTCAGGCTGAGCCCAAGATTCACACACACACACACACACACACCCCAAGTGGAGGATGGTAACTTCAGGCTGAGCCCAAGATTCCTGGAGTACCACCCGGTTACCTCACCACCCACCAATCAGAAGAAAGTCACACACTGCAGACTTCACCCCAAATGTTGCCTTTCTTTTCTGGGCCGGGCAATGAACACCCTGTTAGGCTTCCTGTTTAGCCCCTGTCTGTTTCATCTGCTTACAAGGTTTCTCTCTAACAGATACGAACAGTTTCAGGCCAAACTGTTGTTAACTATGAGAGTCGAACTCAGTTTCAGACACAGAATACCTAGATTTAGATCAGGCGGAGAGAGATTTCTACTCTACTAGGTAAGACGGTGCCCACTCCCAATAGGCAGTAGCTACAGAAGAAAGAAACCTCTGCCCCAATTCCCAAGAAGTATCTTGAGTATGAAGTGTCTCAGGGGGGAGTTGTTAGGGAAGTGTTGACCAAAATCACCCACCTTGGCCAACATGAGGTCCCCATAAGGAACGTGGTGCTTCAGACAAAAACTAACCAGGAGACTTCAGGAGGGGCTCAAAGACAGAGAAGACCAACCTCCCAGAGTCCTTCTCCCTGGAATCCATGTTGGCTGAGAGATGCATGCCAAAAAAAGACCCTGAGTTAGGCTATGAACCAAGCAACATGACTGGCCACAGACAACCTAGAAACTAACCCCATTACCATAAAACCTGAAACTGTGAGCCACACGTGGCAGACCAGTTCCCCTGGGTTCCGTTACCCTGCTGCTCTCCACCCAGGCACCCCTTCTCAGTATCAGTAAAGTCTCTGGCTCTGTCAGCACACGTGTCTCCTTGGACAATTCATTTCCGAGGGTTAGGCAAAAGCCCACTATCAGGCCCTACAAAGGTCCCTCCCTCCCCCCCCCCCCCACTTCCTACAACAGAACGGCATGACCACGTTCTGGCTAATTCTCTTCCCCTTCTTTGTCCCACAACTACAATCAGGCTGTAGAAAGTGAACTCTCCATCAGAGAACCTCCCAATGTCAGGCAGAAAGGAGTGGGCTGTAAATCCGCTTGGGCTGCTTCAATCCTCCAGGTACAGAACAAGATTCTCTCTGCTCCCCAAGGCTTAGGTACGGTTTTCTCGCTCCAGCTTTGACATCGACCCCTCCCCAACCTGGCCCAAAAAACCTCGACTCCCCCAGCCCAAGCCTGGGCGCCCGGAGCTTCCCAAAGGGGAAGCGCCGCGGTGCACCGTGGGAGCTGTAGTTCCCAGGTGAGTTCCGCGCCCCAGCAGCCCTGAAGACCGGACTCCCGCTCCCAGAAGCCCGCGCGCGGGCGCCTCGCCCAGTCAAGCCACCTCACCTGTTCTATGGACGTGACTGTTTCCACCGAGTCGTCCTGCAACCGCTCCCGCGCGTGCTCTGGCCTCAGACTGTACAGCGGCTCTGACCAGACAGGGGAGGAAGATGGAGGGCAACAGTAGGTGAAGGAACTCGGAGAAGCCATGATCCGGAAAGCAGCGGGCGGTGTATAGGGCTCAGCTTCGGCAAACCACAACGCGCATTGAAACTCGAGCGGGCTAAGGCGCTACGGTGAGCGGGTAGAGTCAAAAGATTCTGAACGCGAATTGCTCCTGCCACCTACACATCCTCAGGGAGTGGGATGCTGCCGCCCCCCACTGGGCAGAGGCGTTGCTGCAAGAAGCTCAGTTTCCTAGCAGCAGGGAAGAATTATGTCCGAATTTCATTTCACACACACCCCTCTTTTCAACATTCTGCTCATTCTCACTTAATTGTTATGTCAGTAGTTTGCAGCTGCGGGTGCCCAAGAGCCCAATGAGTGTAACTCTTAAAGCATTTCTGACAGCTCTTCTGACTGTCTCAATCATGTTACGAATAGAATTATTGTTCACCTTTGTGTACATGACAGCCGCCCAGGAGAAGCCAGCAAGTAGCTTCTCCACAAAGGCATCGCCATCTGAGCACTCAGTGATGGAGGGAAGGGGCACTATAATTTTCTTCTATCTCACTGGGGTTACAGTGCAATAGCAGAAACTAAAACGCCGTAGAAGGAACAAGTATAAGTGAAACAATCAAGAAATATTCACTCATTTATTTAGAAATTTTAAATGAAGTACCTACTATATGCCGGGGCACCCGTGCTAGGTCCCAGAAATACAAAAGTGAGCAAAACAAATAAGGTCCTTGCCCGTGGGAATCTTACAGTCTGGTAGAATTGATAGAATTAAGTGAATGAACATAATAAATACATGAAGACTTGTGATAAGTTGTATGAAGGAAAATAACAGGATCTGTGAAAGTGAAGGAGGAGGGGACTAATTAGACTGGTTGGTCTGGCCAAGCCTCTCCGAGTAAGTGACATGTAGAATGAGACTTGAAGCATAACAAGAGGCCATCCACATGAACATCAACAAGAGCCTCACAAGAGAAAGGAGCAGCAAGTTTGAGAGAACATGCAAGAAATATGCTCATGTGTATTTGTATTCAATCTGATATTTAATCTGAAGGTATTCCAAATAAAAGAAATTCCCCTTAAGTGGGGTTAATCATCATATACGTCTCCATTAAATGTTCAAGTTGTGATCTTAGGAAAACCCTGCTACCTTTGGGCAAGCAATAGAAGAGACCCTCTTTCAGGGACCCACAACAAAAAGACTACTCCAAAATTATAATACCAAGAGGTTAAACTATTTAGAGTGGGGGTGAGGGCTTGGGGGTTTGAGTTGACAAGATGATAATAGACTTTCCAGATAGCCTTGGACACAAGATCCATTTCCAGCTCAGAGGATTTTACTCTGTTCCCACTCAATTCCAAGTCACCTGTCTAGGACCCAGGAAACCGTGGTATGATATTTCACAACCGGCCATTCCCCTGTTCTCAACGTCTAAAGATGAGGCCGGGATGGCCCAGAGGCCCAAGATAGGTAAACACTATCACTGTGTCCATTTCAGAGGTGCTGTTGTTGAGTGAAGTCCTGGAGGTGCCAGAATATTTCTAAATCTGGGAATAAGTAGGACTGTGTGGCTTAGAGTCATGGATATAGCTGTACAACATGAAATGCTCTCTATTCTTCCCTCTGTATTGGCATCTTATTGCCTTTTATTTCTGTTTTGGAAAAAATGATCTGTTAAGATCTGGGTCAAATCTAAGACCTCCATCCACCATCTTTGTAAGGAGTTGTTTTGCTACCTAAAAATTTAAATTGAGCTACTGAAAGAGTAACTGGAACAATTCTGTAACAAATTGCAACGTCTGTTGCAAGTGCACCTAAAGCAATTGCAAATTGTATTCAAGAAATAGAAATCTTATTTCTGAATGCAGTCTCCTCCACAGTGGGATCTGAAAGAGGTTAATAGGGAGGAAGCAAGAGCCTTCTGCAGGATAGTTTCTTGATGTGTTGCTCAGTGAACCAAGTGCTGAGGAGACAGTGGTGAAAAAGCCACACACGTGCTCAGCCCTTATGCGTCTCAAGATTTACCAGAAGAAACAGACATTAAACAGTCATTGCAGAACTGACTATTATTATTGCAGTTGGGGGAAATGGCAGGCGGGAGAAAAAAGCACAGGGTATGGTGAGACTGCATGGCAGGGGAGACTGAAGGTAGTCTGGAAGATCAGGAGGAAATGATGACGGTGGGAGGACAATCCCAGGCAGAGGAAACCCAGTGGCAACAAAATCAAGTGAAACAAGGAATGGAAAATAGGAGGAGTTTATACTCTCCGTGGCATTGTGAAGACTTTTCAGCCTTGGATCAGCGATGGCCTACAAGTCATCTTTCCTCTGAGTTTAATAAAACGATTTGTTCAAGAGGCAGAATGTACATAAATATTGGCAGAATGGCAGAAAGTGATATATTTACAGGAGAAAGTCTTAGTAATGATGATAGCAACTCCAACTTGGACTACAGATGGTTTGGGTTTATTTAACTCAAATGTATGACATTCTTCTAAATTAAACTGTGAATTGTAATTGTTTCTTTTAAAAATAAGATGTGGATAGTGCTATTTTGTATTAACACTTCTATCTAGAGCAAGAAGAAAAAAAGATTACTGGTCTAAATGAACCACTAGAGGGCGCTTCTGCCCCTAGAGTAGCTTCCAGCTGCTGCTGCTAAGTTGCTTAAGTCTTGTCCGGCTCCATCGTCGGCAGCCCACCAGGCTCCCCCGTCCCTGGGATTCTCCAGGCAAGAACACTGGAGTATTCTTCTCCAATGCATGAAAGTGAAAAGTGAAAGTGAAGCGACTCAGTCGTGTCCGACTCGCAGCGACCCCAGGGACTGCAGCCTACCAGGCTCCTCCGTCCATGGGATTTTCCAGGCAAGAGTACTGGAGTGGGTTGCCACTGCTTTCTCCCAGAGTAGCTTCCAGAGAAAGCTTTAAAACTGCTCTTAGTGCATTACTCACAGAAGCCCATATGTCAGCATGAATAGTTTCTTTTAATATCTTGCGAATCTATGTAATAAGACATATTTTGGAAAGAACTCATCTATTATCCCGCCAGGTAATTCATTTTCCCCCCCAAAATGACTTCTCTGCCAGCATCTGCGGCCTCCTATTCTGCCTTCCCTGTCCCTGGCCCTCCTGTCTCCCCGGATGGAAGGGTTACCCAGCTCTTACCTAGGGCCAAACCCTCCCTGTCCCCTCATGCCCATCCTCCCTTACCTCTCCTGAGACATCTAATTGTTCCTGTACTTGATCATGTCCATCACCCACAAACAGGCTACTTCTCCATTCACTGGGCGGGGCCAGGGGCAGGTGGGGAAGGCACTTTTAAGCCTCTTGATTTCACTCCTCCTTCAGCTACCTCCCCATTCCTCCTTCCCTCTCTGCCAGTGGCTCCAGTTCCTCTCCTCCTACTGTCTCCCGAACCCATTCCAATCTGGCTTCCCCACTGGCTCTTGTCAAGTCCCCGTTAAACTTTTAATTGCTAAATCCAAGGGCCAGTCTCAGCTTTTACCCTGTCTTCCTACCTGGCCTCCTAGCCGCGTGTGACAGGGTTGATCATTCCCTTCTCCTTGAAATACCTTCTTCTGGCAATGGCTGGCACCAGCCTTCTCTATTTCCTCATCTTTCTCATGCTGTAAGTTTGGAGTCCCTTGGGGTTCTCTGTCTACACTCGCTCACCTGTGAGCTCAGTCAGGTTCAGTGTTGCAAATACTGCTAGTAGATTGAAAACACCCTCATTTACATCCCCAACCTGGATCACTCTCCTGAACTCACGTTCATATTTAACATCATATTTGCATTTCCACTTAGATATCTAACATGCATCTGAGCACGGTAAGTGTGTTCACAACAGAGCTGCTGGTTTATCTTCCAAACCCATGCCCTCAGCCTTCTGCCCTCAGTTACCGTAAGTAACTCCATCTTCCCACTTCCCTACAAATCTCTTGGAGCCATCCTTGATGCCTCTCTTCCACTCACCCTCCGTAACTCTTCGTGAAAATACATCCAGAATTTAACCCCTGCTTATGAAATCCCACAGCTGAGGTCCTGGGCCGAGCCACCACCATCTGCCACTTGGAGTCTTACTCTCATCTCTTAACTGTGCTCCCTGTTTCCACCCTTGTCCTCCAATAGCTTAATACAAACTCAAAAGCCAGACTGAACTTCTTCAGTGTAAGCAAATGACCCCTTCATCTGAAAACTTCTGATTATCTCAGAGTCAACCTCGAGGTTCTTAGCCTAGAAGGCCCCACAACTTGGCCTTTTCTTGCACTTGCCTGATTGCTCACTCTGTCCACCACACTGGCCGCCTGCTGTTCTGTGTACACCCCAGGGCCAGCTTGTGTGCACCCCAGGGCCAGCTGTGTGCACCCCAGGGCCAGCTGTGTGCACCCCAGGGCCAGAGCAAGGGTGGTGCTTGCTCTCACCTCCCACACAACGCTCTACCCCCAGATGTAGACGCGGCCTGCCCTCTCACTTCTGCTCTTTACTCAAATTTTAATACTCTGTCCCACTCTCCTGTTTTCTTTTTCTCCAGAGCACATATCACCAGCTGACAAACTCTATACTTTATTCATTTGTTTACTGTTTGTCTTCCTCCCACTAAACTGTAAGCTCTCAGGACAGGGATTTTTATATTGTTCATCACTTACTCTCTAGAACATAATAGGCACTGAGTAAGTTCAATGACTCAAATGATTTCCAGTCACTGTAATAAACATTTGAGTGCTTATTTGTGTAACGTACTGTAAAAATGATGACAATGAACATAATATTATACTAGCCTTATCCTTTAAGAGCTCACTAGCTAATAAATACAGAACCTGTATAAATATAAATAAATATAAACATACAAAATATAAACATAAAATATATATATAGGCATAAAGTAGGACATAACACACACACAGAATTCAGTGAAATAAAATAGGAAAAGAATAATTCATTCTAATCTATGAAGATGGCCTTTTAATATATAACATTAGTGTTTAGTTATATTTTCAATAGAGTAAATATTCTCTGGTAAATATTTTAACAGT